TTTTGTCTTGAAAGGACTGCTCCATTGACGCTTCTTATCAATGGACAATTGTCTGTTAGCGCACACTAGCTCAGTTGGCAGGACGTTTGGGTTGCGAAGCAGTGTGATGCCAATAGCATGGGTTTCAACTCCCATCACGGGCTGAGGTTACCATTGGAGGGCTCTCCTTCTCAACCTCTCCCCTCGCCAGGTGACCCTCAGGTTAAACCATCACCAGTCATCTCTGTCCAATGAGAGAGCAGCCCTATGGTCAGGTAAGACAAGGGCAACACACACTGGCCAGGCATTTGTGAGAGACGAAACACCAGGTGCCCCCCAAAGCCAGAGGGCTAAGCGATCAGTGGAGGTTGTCCATGGGTCCACAGGTAGGATGGAGTTTGCCCAGCCTGCCTTCTCCAAAAGCAGCTCCTCAGCTAAAGCTTCAAGTGGTGGTGACAAGGGGACTGAGGGATGTTGGAGCAGCTTACAGGAGGAGTGAGGGAATGGTCGGGGTTGGGGGGGGGTGCGTGCGGAGGGGAGCGATCAGTGTTGTAAACTGCATTTGTGCTATTCCTGGCTCTATGAGAGGGTTTTTGAAAATATGTATTTCAAGGATTTCCTCTTGGTTGTAGGACCCTGAGCAAGTCAAGCCCAGTGCCTTTATCAAAGGCAAGGCAGGTGGACATTAGCCTCCGAATTTATGTACTCGAGGGGACTTATTTTAGATGTACATGTGAAAGGTCTAAAGAATGGGCCACACAGCCCAGGCCTGAACACTCTGAACTTTCCATGTTTTCCTCCAAATTACTGTTTCCAGCCCCTCATTCCGACTCCCTCAACTTTTTTTTCATGTGCACCTTGAGGTTTGTGACTCCCTGCCCGGAAGAATTGAACTGCCTGATCCAACCCAGTGTCAGTTCTCTATCTAAGAAATTAGCCACTGGAGCAAGATACCCCAACAGGAGGGCATCGAGACAAAAGGAGGGGAAACATCTGGCAAGGAACAGTTTTCTCTTCAACTTTGGGGTAGAAAGGAAATCAGGATGATCCTTTAGACCAAACGCTAGTGGAATAGATTACCAGAGGGGGCTGCTCAGTAGGTTCAAGACCCCGCAGGTTGGGTTCTTACAGGGAGAAGACTTTGAGAGACATAAAGGGAGTAGGTGCAGGGTGATGTCTGAGAAACGGTTAGACTGTTGGCCTTAAAAAAGACTTTTCCTATTCAAACAGTTGACCTGAGAGGCACCCTGCCAAAACTTCACCAACAAAACCAAACACTCCCACCGCTGCCTCAATGATGGAAAATGGTGGAAACATTCTCAAGGTCGGGCAGCAGTTGGGGGAGACAGAACGAAGCTGTCATTTCACGGCAAGAAACCCATTCCCAGAACCTTCCTCTCCTTCCTCCATTCATCAGCTCTGTGTCTTCCAGAATCTTCTTTCTTCTCGAACAGTTTCACAATTAGAAGTGGGGCACTCACGTTGAATTGGGGTTTGTTGTTGAGACTGTTACATCAGATTTAATACCATGTATGCAATTAAAAAAAAGACTTGTGGGGGACCCACTTGGTTCTTGCAGAAAGTTCGGGGACAGGGTCAGTGATCTCGGTCTCATGACATTGTACAATAACAGGGGACTTAACTTGTGATGATGGGATTAGTACAGAAACGACATCCTACAGCACCAGCTAACACCAAGTTGTTTATAATCTACTGATGCTATTAGCTCCAAGACTGAATAGCTAGGAGCATTGAGTTAAACCACAAGCCAGCTCTCACCTCTACTTTATCTCTGCGTGATAGGGTGGGGGGCTTGAAATCTATTTATTTTAGGTATGTGAGACATTCCAACACTTTGAACGTCTTGTTCTCCTTTTAATCTAGCTCTTTCATACCTTTTCTACAGTTCATACCTTTTCTCATTTGATTCTAAACACTTGCTTCAGAAGCTAAATTTAACTTGCAGATTGTTTCTGAGAATTATGAGCATCCTCTTGCACTTTGATACCCTTGAAAACACTACAGCGTCTATTCAGGATATATATGGGAAGAATGGGAGGTGACCTTATTGAGACGTAATTAATTCAAAGAGGACTTGACAGGGTAGATGTAGAAAGATTGTTTCCCCATCTGCATGGGTCTTGGGCCAAAGGACATAGCTCAGGATAAGGAGTCACACATTTAAGACAGAAGCTGGGGGAATTTCCCCTCTCAGCAGGTAGTGAGTCTGTGGAATTCTTTACCACAGAGGGTTGTCGATACTGGGTTGTTAAGTATATTCCAGACTGAGATAGAGAGCTTTTTAATCAGTTAGGGAGCTAAGGGTTCTGGGGAAGAGGCAGGAAAATGGAGTTGAGGGTTATCAGATCAGCCATGAATCTGATTGGATGGCACAGCAGAGTTGATGGGCTGAATGGCCTACTTCTGCTCCTACATCTTACGGTCTTAACTCAACGGATGTGTGATTTGAACTCACATTTGTAGGCCCGGTTAGCCCAAGACTTTGTAGCAGTTACATTTTTTTCAAATGTGAGATTTATCTCATTTGCACCGCTGTGTGTTTTTTTCAAAAAAATGCGTGGAAATCAAACAAATTTCTAATTTCGATTCTGTTTTATTTTCATACTGACAGAAGGAGGCCTTTGGATTGCGTTTTAACTTAAACCCCAACAAATTCTTGTCTGCTCACAGCAGCCAAATTCAAAACGGTCCCAGCTGTGAAAGCTTAACTTTGTCTTTCAAAATTCAGCGGCTGTGCGTTTGGGACAGCGGGTGTTGAGTTCTACAGGCACCTTTCAGACCCACACTCGCGTCCTGTCACCACCTCCCCATCTCCAGGCCAGGGCCTAACCGCAGCGTACAATAATCAAGACTGACACTTTGGTGTGACGGCTGAGGGAAGGCCGCAGTGTTGGATATGTAGGTCTTGCCAATGAGACTTCGATCCCGTCTGCTCCCTCAAGCGGATGTAAAAACATTATTTGCAGAGGGGGACCACAAAGCCTCCTGGCCGCACCAGCGTCACAACAGATTAGTTAGTGGATCATTTATCTTCCCTCTGCTCCAAAGGCTGGAGGTCCCCCCCTTTCCAGGGCCCGGGAAGTTTTGGCTTTGAAGTCAGACATTCTTGCAGACATTTGTTTGAAAAGTTGTGAGAGAATGTTCTACTCAGAATGACTCTTCCCCCAGTGCCCAACTTTGGACACACTCGACAGTTTTTACATTTAAAGGGTGAACACTGTTTCCTCTTGTGTCCTCCACTGAAGTTACAGCGTACAAGGCACGCTGAGGAGTAGGAGGAATAGGCCACAGATGCTAAAAAAAATAACAAGGAGCAATCTTTTAACTGATTAGTAGCAGGAGACTTGTCTCGTGTTTGCTGTTGAAGCACAGTGAGCTTCGCAAGGACTCCCTGGAGGGGAAGGAAGGCGGGGCGAGGATGGGGAAGGAGAGTCTGCAATGCAGTTTGAAATAGAACGAACGGACTGGCAGATAGTGGGGAAACAGTGAGGGTTTATTGTCCCCCAGTGGGTGTGAGGGTGTTTTTCTGGCTGTTACACAAGGGTTGTGGGGGGGTGGGGGTGTGGGTGGGGGTCTCTTGTTGGTCACCTGGAGGAGCTGCACTCCCCTCTCCCGGCATTGATCGACATGTTGCTTCCTGAATCGATATCGTGATCGTGCTCCCCCAGTCCCCTCTCCGGGAACCTGTCCAATCGATCTCCAGCGAAGCCAACCCAGCTCTCCATCACTGTTCTCCATGTGGACAGGCCGCAGTTCCAGCTGTGACCACTGGCCTTGGTGGCGCTGCCTAGGTTGGTGAGGAGCTGGAGCTCTGATTGGCTAACAGCTCTCTGGAGGCGGGGTTTCCTTCCACATGGGTCTGGATTCTGGGAGCTGTCTGGCTGTCAGGTTGCCATAAAATCCAGTCATGGCTTCCTGACCCTGAGGAGGTAACACATTGATCCCACTACACCCCCAGACTCCTTCCCTCCTCTCATCCCCAGACCCACTCACCCCCCACCACCCCCAGACTCACAGACCCAGCCCCACTCCTTCTTAGTCCCATTTTCCCTCTTAACCCCATTCCCAACCCCCAGACGCACACACCCCCCCACCCAACAGACTCAGTCCCCCCATCCCCACTCCCTCCCAGCCCCATTCCATCCTAGCCCCATTCCTAGTCTCGGCCCCACTCCCAACCCCCAGACCCACTCACCCCCCCACCCCCCGGACTCAGTCCCCCCATCCCCACTCCCTCCCAGCCCCATTCCATCCTAGCCCCATTCCCCCTCTCGGCCCCACTCCAAACCTCCCCAGACCCACTTGCCTCCCCCACCAACACCACCAGGCCCACTCCACACCCAGATTCACTCCACTCCTCAGCCCCATTTCTGCCCCTGCAGCTTCCCCCGCTCCCCCCAGCCAATCCCACTATGGCCCCCAGCCCCATACCCTCCCAGGTCCCTCTGCCAAACTCAAAACTCTTCAACCAGGCAGTGGGGCCACCGCAAGCAATTTGTCCCTCAGTGTCTTCAACAGAAGCCCCACCACAAAGCCAGTCTGAACTCAACGTCAAACAGTTTGGATGACTGAGCCAGTTTCGGGGAGACTATTTAACTTGGCCATTCCTGACCCCACTGTCTCTGTATCTAACCACAGGGACGTGGACATCACATGCTGAGCTAGCATGAGCTGCCTGTCCCTAATTGCCCCTAGAAGGTGGTGGTGAGCTGCCCTCCCAAGTCGATGCAGTCCATGTGCCACAGAGACAGCCACGAGTGGGGTGGTGGAGTTTCCAGGTCGAAGCCTAACAATGATGAAGGTCTCGTGGTGTACCGTCTGTTCGCACATGGGCACGTTACCATCAGAATTATACTGCGTCAGCTCCACTGTCATTCTTACTTTTTGTCAGTTCTGAGGAAGGGTCACCGGACCCAAAACGTTAACTCTTGATCTTTTTTTCCAGCAACTTCCATTTTTGTTCCATTGCTATTATTGCCTTTCCTTTTCACTTGCAGATGACTACGCACGGCTTTGTAACCTTCCTGTTCCCGGGAGACAGCATGAGTACGGTCAGGACGCTTTGATGCCCCCTTACCAGCCTGACTACTCGGTCTCACCCTCGGAGTACGACCCCCAGCAGGCCCTCCGTGGTAACCTGCCCTTCTTTGTAGACGCACGCTGTAAGTTGAACCCTCTCTGCGGGCAAGCTGTTAGCCTTGTTTCTCTTGTCCTTTTTTGGGGGCAGAAGAAAAGACAACAAGGGAGCCAAGTGCCCCCAAATGCAGTTAAAACAGGCTGAAAGTAAAGGAGGGAGAATGGGATGCAGTGGGAGCTGGGAACAGGGACAAATAGGCATTTACCCTGCACAGATTTTTTTTTCCTTTATTCATTCTTAACGGGATGAGGGCATTGCCGGCCAGGCTGCATTTATTGCCCATCCCTAATTGCTGTGGGTCTGGAGTCACATGTAGGCCAGACCAGGTAAGGATGGCAGTTTCCTTCCCTAAAGGACATTAGTGAACCAGATGGGTTTTTCCTGACAATTGACAATAGATTCACGGCCATTATTAGATTGCTAATTCCAGATTTTTTATTGAATTCAAATTCCACCATCTGCCATGGTGGGATTTGAACCTGGGTCCCCAGAACGTTATCTGGATCTCTGGATTAATGGTCCAGTGATAATACCACTAGGCCATTGCCTCCCCAATTTAAAATTGTTGCTATGCAAATGCAAAGAATCTGCATGTGGTGAGAGGTAAAGGGTCTACAATTAACCTACGTGGGGCTCAGTAATGTCCTTCAGGGGATTGTATCCTCCGTCCTTGATCTATACGTGACCCCAAACCCACAGCAATGCAGTGATCCCTTAACTCCCCTCCGAAATGGCCTCAAGCAAACTGTTCAGTTACCTTGAACCTCTTCCTCGGAGAAAGAGAAAAGGGCCAAACGAATTGTCCAGTGTCAGACACAAAAAGAGCATACCCTGCTCTGTTGGCCCTGCAAAGTCCTCCACATTAACGTTTAGGGGCTTTGTGCTGAGTTAGAAAGTGGTGGTCCTGGTGGGTACGAAGATAGTTTACTGTCCGGCGGCCCTTCAGCCCCCAAGCAGCATGTTAGCCCAGCACCAGGTAAAGCTGTCATACAGAAAGCTGGACAGCTTGTGCAGGCTGTACCAGATGAGAAATAGTACACACAGTTCCTGTTCACCCTGTCTCCAAACTGTTAGCCCGACGCCAGTGAGATGAGAACATCTCAATCAAATTGGCAGACACGTATCGCCACCTGGTGGCTGTGCTGGCCAGCTGCGAGTTCCCCACAGATCAGGCCCACATGATGCACCGAAACACGAAAACTATTAGCCTTATCAGTAAGCATAGATCCTGAATTGAAGCTTGCTTTCACAAGCCCCGTGTGATTCTTTATTTGGTTTAATTGATGAAGGGGATACATATTGTACACAGTCAGTCCCTCATCACCTTGTCTACCATCTCTGGGTGAGGGAAGGGATATGGGATAACCTTCTGAGATAGTAGGAACTGCAGATGCTGGAGAATCCGAGACAACAAGGTGCAGAACTGGATGAACACAGCAGGCCAAGCAGCATTATAGGAGCAGAAAGGCTGACGTTTTGGGCCTCGACCCTTCATCAGAAATGGGGGAGGGGAAGGGGGTTCTGAAATAAATAGGGAGAGAGGGGGAGGCGGATAGAAGATGGATAGAGGAGAAGATAGATGGAGAGGTAACCCACCTATCCCCTTCTCCCATCTCAAGCCACACCGTCATCTCCTACCTACTAACCTCATCCCGCCCCCTTGACCTGTCCGTCCTCCCTGGACTGACCTATCCCCTCCCTAACTCCCCACCTACACTCACCTTTACTGGCTCCATCCCCGCCTCTTCGACCTGTCTGTTTCCTCTCCCCCATTTCTGATGAAGGGTCTAGGCCCGAAACGTCAGCCTTTCTGCTCCTATGATGCTGCTTGGCCTGCTGTGTTCATCCAGCTCTGCACCTTGTTGTCTGGGATAACCTTGTCTGGGCCAGAGCTGACCTCAGTTGGCTGGACAGTTGGTTTGCAAGGCATAGTGATGCCAATGGTGTGGGTTCAGTTCCCACATTGGCTGAAGTCACAATGAAAGCCTCTAGCCTGTGGTGTGGTGACCCTCAGGTCAAACTTACCACCAGTCGCCTCTGTCTGTCTCCCTCTCTAATGATGAAGCAGCCTGTTGTCCTCTGGGACTATTGTAACCCTCACTTCCTATTCTTGTCCAATGTTACGATTAGCAACGTATTTGGAGCAATCTCATTATCGCTAAAACTGCGAGGGCTGAATTAGGTTTACACTCTCTCTGCCGGGTTCTCAGATCATTCACAGTTCAAAAGTCAGACAAGGTGGGACTCAGAGTTGGTTCCCAGCCATTTACCTGTTGGACACGTTTAGGGTGATGGGTGAGATGCCATGTTTATCACAGTGGGTACAGCTCATCACTGGAGGAGCTCTCTTGACAGTTGTGTTCACTCTGCTCCACAGATCCATTTGACAGTTTCGAGGGACTGCAGGCTGAGGAATGCGGTATTCTGAATGGCTGTGAGAATGGGCGCTGTGTCCGAGTGCAGGAGGGCTACACATGTGACTGCTATGATGGCTACCAACTAGACATAACCAAGCTGGAGTGTGTTGGTAAGATCAGTCTCAGGATACTCTGTTCAGAATGGAACCGTGATTATTTAATCTATAACAAGATATTGCTGCAACATCATGATTGCCAGCAATTGAAGAGGGTCTGATGACCCAACCCAAGTCCAAATGCTTTTGAATCATCTCAATTCCTGTCGCCACCTTTTCCCTTAAGACTCAAATCCTTCTCCCTTCGGAAAGACACCAAGTTGTTTTGAGTCTGTTTATACAGTCCACTTCAATAGCCTTTCTCAGTGAGTTATTCACGGCTCTTTGTTTGTAACAGTGTCATCAAACATCCTTTCTTAATCCTAATGAGCTAAATTGAAACGGCCAGTACCCGATTCCTTTACTCTGGAGCACAGTTTGTCCGGGTCACCTCATTGATCCTCTTGATCACCTTTGAAGCTTTAATCGGGTCAGCTCAGAGTCTCCTCCTTTCCAAATAACACAACTCCAGACAGTTCCCCAGCTGAAGAGCAAACGAAAAGGCAGATTCAAGAATGGGCCACCTACTTTAATGGGTGTAGCTTTGGAACAGAAACACGGTCAGTTGTAAATATTGCTCTGCAGTGTGACTGGATAATGATAACATGGCATGATAACTTTGTAGGACCATGTACCCTGTGCTCCAAAGGCTTGTGCTCCATTTTCACACATGATCAGCTCACGATGTGTTGGAAGAAGCTGACCCCTCACATAGAGGAGGTCAGATCGAGGCTGAGTGGCTCTCAGTCTCAATCCTCTTCTATGAGCCTCCTAGCGACCAATCAGAGACCAGTAATGACCAACAACGTTCTTCGATGGGAGATGATGGGTGACATGAAGGAGCTGTTGCCTTATTCGAGCCTCCTCAGTGAAAATGGGATGTGTCTGAAAAGATCTGATTGACTGGGGCAGACTCCTGATCTTTGAGGAGCTGAGTCAGTGGGTGAAGAACATAACGAGCGAGGCAAACTCCAGTAGAAACGTAGTGTTACGGGGGCATCCTTCCAGGATCTCCAGCACACAGCCCCCAACAGGGTTCATCAGGTCAGGTGCGGCTGGGTTTGTGGCACTGACATGGCTCAAAACATTCCCAGATTCTGTTCTGGGAGATTGCAAGGAAACACCCACCAAACACAGCCGGTGGGATACCTCCGGATGCGTCAAGCCCCATTTTAGATACAATCCCTCAAGGGCACCCTCTTAAATTCCTTTGATGGTGAGGAGACTGAGCACAGTTCTCCTTTGGGTGCCCAGTTTGCTGACGGTGCAGATGGACACCGTTAAAGGCAGAGTCAATTCCACAGCCCTATCAATGGCAGGGATTCTGTTCTATTTAATTTTCAATTGGTTTTTGATCGCTGGTATGTGATGATGCCAGGTCAGTGCCCAGTGTTCAAGGTTTGGCTCCAAGGAGGCAATGGGCTGGCCACTATTGCCGTGGCTTTCTGCACTCCTCATCAATAACTCCTGAAATATAAACAGGAGAAGGTGCATCAACCAGAATGAGCGAAGACAATCCCTTACTGGTCAAACTAGAGATTTGTCAGAGCAGTAGGAAGCCCATCAATGGGCAGAGGCCTCCCCTGCTCACCCAGGTCGAGTTTCTGCATGATCTGACAACTAGTCCCTTGGCAGTAGGGCTCCTGCCTGTTTTACAGAGGAGGATCCCACCTCCAGGGGCTGTGGTTAACTGGAAGTAGGGACTGCACGCCACTGAGAGAGCACCATGGAGGGGCTTCACAGTGCCAACCGGGTGTGAGTAGGATCTGGGGACACCCCAGTGCCAGTCAGGTTACCGTGAGGCGAGGGTGCGTTGCTAAAAGCAGGAGTTGAGGGGAGGGTGTGTGTTTCCTGCAGGGAACCTCCATTATCAGGCACAGGAGGTCCCTCCCCAGCGCACACAGGCTGCCAGGGGTGACCAGGCAGCAGAGTGCCCAGTCACTCCTGGTAACGCACCATTGAGGAGAATTAGCCACTCAGTGGGTGGCATCCATTCCTCAGGACTAGAAGGCTTTGGGTTCAAGTCGCGATGGCCATGGGAAGGGGTTGATTTTCAACCTGTAAATCCTCCCACTGATATGTCCACAGCAGAGTTTCCTAGTTATCCTCAACCATGTGGTAAGCTACAGTGTAACAACCTCGCCAAACCTGGGCCTGGGGTTCAGTGTTACTAACCCAGTGACGTTATAACCACGCTACCCCCTCCCCAAGGACTGTCTTTTTTGAGAAGCTTCTGAGACATCAGTCATGGCGATCCCTTCCTTGGGCAGTGTCTAAGTTCCAGTCTCTGACAGTATCACGACATTGATCACCCAAACTTCTGAAATACTGGGACTGATATTGATATTGAAGCAGAGATAATATTCTTCCATCGTAGATAAGCAACACCCTTTGTCAAAATGTTCAACAGAGAATGTTACGATAAAATTCAGCCTAGCTATCATCTTGCTGTAAGACCAGGCTTGTTTGAAGATTATTTCATTCTCTGTACTTTGTTTTGTCTTCCCTCTGTACTTATAGACGTGAATGAATGTATCGAGCTCAATGATAAAATGTCACTTTGCCGGAACGCCAAATGCATCAACACCGATGGATCGTACAAGTGTGTGTGTCTGCCGGGTTACGTCCCCTCAGAGCAGCCCAATTACTGCATAACCACAGAGGCACAGAAAGAGTCAAAGTTGGAGTAATTTGTGAAGAAGGTTCATGTCCCCCCTCCCCCCTCCCCTCTTCCCAACCCCACTACTGTACAAATCCCACATACGCTCTGCACCCCCTCCCCCTGCCACCACACACCAGATCCCCCTCAAGAAGCAACGTACAAACACTCCATCTACGCAACACCCCCTTGTCAATGAGTGTTTGCCATCAGTCGCTGATGCCATTAAGGAAGGGGACACCAAATGGACATATCGTTTTTCTCAAGCTGGGGAGTCACCCCAATTCTACCAATGAGCAGAAAGACCAAATGGATTCCTAATGTGCTTCTTCTTTTTATATGGAAAGGAAAGCCCTCTCAATAAAGTGAGAAAGCACACCGCATCTGCAGTCATTCACACAAAATAGCATTTGTTATTATCACAAGGTTTACACTAGGTATAACAGCGGTGAAAATATTTTGTATTACTGTTATAAGGCGTATTTGATAAAATGCAGTATGTGTTTATACTGCTTTGACTTTAGAGTTTTATGACAAATGTAAATTCTTTGATAGCAACTTATAGTCTGTTTGTATGTTTTTTTTTAAAAGGTCGTGCTATTCTGTGTCTGGAACATTGTTCAGTGACAGTTTTTACCTTGTTCAGTGTCTGCCCTGTGGAGCAGGCGTGTCGTTTCGATAAGGTTTTTTTTTAAAAAAAAGAAGTTTTATACAACCGTAGAGGTGTGAAGTTCCTGGTTATGTTCTCCACACATTATATACTGCACTACAACCACACAGTTCAAACTTGCCAGGTTGCAAAAGCTGCTACAGGACAGCCAGAAGAGACATGATGTGTACAGTTACACTGAAGAAATAAAAGAACCAGATTATTGTATTGTAAGTTGTAAATTGAAACAAAAAAAATTCACAAGCAGATAGCTCTTGTATGATCATCTTAAAGCATATTAAAGCTGTATTCTAAACCTCTGTAAAACCTATAAATAAATCACTTATGGAAGTGTACTGCTTTAGTTCTCCTGTACAAGTATGGGGACGCATTTGGAACTTGTGGGTTTTGAGATGTCCAACACATGGGCATGTGTTTTCATGGGTTTGTGACTGATTCCAGCCAAAGCCAATGCTTTTCAGCTTCATTGGTTGGTATGGAAGGAGATTGTTTGGCCCATTTAAATCGATGCTGGCTGTCTGTGCAGAAATGCAATCATTCCCCGGTGCCCCACTCTATTCCCATGGTCCTATAATTTATTTAGTTCAACTGCCTGCTCGATTTCTTCACAAAGTCATTCGTCTCCACTTCCAGCACACTCACCCAGGAGATTTTATCTCATTACCACTCACTGAGTGAAACCGTTCTTCCTCAAATTTCACCCTGTACATTGCTCACTGAAAACTCTGTGCCCCCAAGTTCTTGTACCATTGGCTAATGGGAGCAGCTTTTGTTGACAGGTCAAGTCAAAAATGGTTTCCCTTCAAGTGGGATTCCCAAATTTCCTCTTTTACCTTCTGCAAAAAGGATCCTGCAATCAATCTATTTTAATGGATATATGTAAATCCATAGGATTTCTGTGTTCTTTATTTATGAGAGATGAAGGGAAGGTAAGGATCATTTTCCATAATGATTTTTTTATTGACCACAAAATTTTGTAAGGCAATGACCCTGATTTTAGCATAACTGGCTGGTAAATTAATATCCTGATTCAAGGAAGATGAATTTTTTTTTTACCCTGAAATCAACTTCTCAGCCTCGCTGTCTGTTGTGCCTGTAGACACGAGGCTTGTGCCCAGGTTCCCAATGGAAGAAGCAAATACAATGTTTTCTTGTTCCTGTGTACCAATTTAAAAAGCACATTTTGAGTTTGCAAATCAGTTTTGCTCTCCTGAGTTATACCAGGCATGAATAAGTTTCAGGTTGACCATCTGCTGAATGAGTAACAAGTGGAATAATCAAAACCAACGTGGATTTGTTTGGGGTAGATTGTGGGGAACTAACTTGATTATTTCTGATGAAGTGAGATTCCGGGTTGTTGAGGGTAGTGTGGTTGATGTGGTGTATATGGACTTCCAAGAGGCGCCTGATAAAGGGGTAGATAACAGGCTTGTCAGGAAAATCAAAAATCCATGGAATGTAAAGGACAGTGTCGGCATGGGTATGAGGTTGACTGGTGGGAAACAGGTAAAAGTTGTTTTTCGGAGTGGAGGAAGTTATGCAGTGGGGTTCCTCAAGGAACGGGATGAGGAACATGGCTTTCCTTGACAATATATTAATGTCCCAGATGGGTGTGCAGGCTGCAATTTCAAAACTTCACAAATCCTGGAAGTGTTGGGATCTGTGAGGAGAGGATAGTCATAGGCTTCAAAAAGACATAGGCAGGTTAATGGGATTTTCAAAAAAAATCATTCATGGAATGAGTAGACCAGCATTTATTGCTCAGACAGCAGTTAAGAGTCAACCACAATGCTGTGGGTGTGGAGTCACGTGTAGGCCAGACAAGGGAGGGATGGCAGATTTCATGGTCATCACTTAGGCTCTTAATTTCAGATTTTTTTTGGCCTATGCCCCTTCCCCCCATATTGAATTCAAATTCTACCATCAGCTCTGGCTGGATTCAAGCCCAGGTTCCCAGAACGTTACCTGTTTCACCTGGATTAACAGACCTGTGATAATACCACTAGGCATTGCACTAGGATGGGCAGCTGTATGTCATGAAATTTGAAGCAGAGAGCTAAGAGATTAGAGATAGTAGGAACTGCAGATGCTGGAGAATCCGAGACAACAAGGTGCAGAGCTGGATGAACACAGCAGGCCAAGCAGCATCATAGGAGCAGAGAGGCTGACGTTTCGGGCCTAGACCCTTCATCAGAAAAGGGATAGCTAAGAGATTATGTATTTTGTAAGAAACATGATGAGAGGCAAGACAAAATAAAGAATGCGTACAATAGCACAAGTGTGGGTGTATACGTGCAACTTGTGGAGATGACAGGCCTGTTGGAGAAAGTAGCTAACAGGACATCTCGCTTTATAAGTGAAGCGTAGATAATGCGGTAAGTAAGCTCTGATGAACTTTTATAAAACACTGGCACAGCTCATCACTGTGCTCAATCCTGGGCACCACAGCTCAGGAAGGATATGAAGGAAGAGAGTGCAAGAACAGATTTAGGGGAGATTTTGAGTACTTGAGTAAAGTGGATAGATTGGAGAAGTCGGGGCTGTTCGTCTTGTTGAAGAGAAGGCTGAGAGGAGATTTGATCAAGGTATTCAAAATCATGTGGGGTCTGGACAGAGTAGAAGAGAAACTGTTGTCATTGGTGAAAGGAAGAACCAGAAAAGAGGAATGAATGATGAACCAAAGGCAACTTGAGAAAAAAAAACATTTATGCAGCCAGTAATCAGGATCTGAACCCAAGCTTTGGACGTTACTCTGTACCACAAAGTGGCCATCCAGCTAAAGGAGCTAACTGGCCTGGAATACACTGCCTGAGACAGTGGTGGAGGCAGGTTCTATTGTGATGTTTAAAAGGAAAATCATCAATTATCTGAAGAGAAAAAAAATTGGAAAAGGAGGAGTGCGTGGGGACCAGCCGATGTACTGTATCAGAAAAACTGGTGTGGATGGGAAGGGCTGAATGGCCTCCTCCTGGACTGTGACCAGTCTGTCCTTCTTTGATTGATACTAATTTACATTAATCCAGTGAGGTCAGAGGTTCAGTCAGCAGGCTATTGCTTCAAATTCAGCCCAGGACTCGGAACATATCAATTAAAGCTGACACTCCAGCACTGAGGGAACACATTGGAGGTGGCACCTTATTGGGTGCCCTCTCTGGTACATGTAAAAGATCCCATGGCACTATTCTGAAGAGGAGCTGGGGACTTATCCCCGGTGTTCTGACCAATATTTACCCTCTCAATGAACATCCCAAAAACAGACTGTCCGCTCGTTATCACAAAGCTGTGCACAAATGACAATAGTGACTGTATTTCGAAAGTATTGCATCAGCTGTAAAACACTTTGAGACATCCAGTTTTGTGAAAAGTGCTCTATAAATGTCGTTCTTTATTCTTCTACTTTTCAATTAGAAATTGGTTACAATGCAAAGCCCTGGGAATCTCGGTCCCATTTGACGTAACTGGTCAAACAAATACTCTATTGTTTTCCATCCTTCAGCCAATCTCTTGGCTCAGTCCAAGATTTACACTGAATTCCCCACAGCTTTGAACTCAATTACTGGCCTTGGCGTGGTGGTTTGTAAAATGCTTTCTGGAAGGCCAGCTTTGACACTATGCACAACCTAACACAATCCCCTTGTCACTTCTGCAGGGAAGCCAAGGAGTTTGAGTTAGGAAGGATCATTCTCTTCTGAAGTCATATTAACTGCTAATCACTAAGTTATTTCTGTACAGCCAATCATATATACAAAGGACTGTAATAAGACTGGTTGGTGCATAGTTGCCTCTTTCTGATTTCTGGCTCTTTTTATCAGTAGGCACCATTCTCATTGATCAGTGATCCTCACAAGAATGATCAGTGCCTCAGAAAGCTCCTTCAGTCTGGTTTAATTACCACCTAATCTCCTGGGTTTGGAAGTGCGCTTCTGATTATTCTGATAGCCCCCAGTTTCAACCCCCTGTTTTATTTTATTTGAACTTAATTATGAAGTTAGATATTTAAGTGTTTGACACAGATATACATACCTTGTTTCTTCGAGCCGGAGAGAACTACATTGTTTTGAAAGAGGGATAATCTGTGTCTCAAGATTTCAATATTGATAGCCAGAGGTGCTTAAATCTACGAGCTGAGGTTATTTAATATAATTTCAAAGGAGGTAAAGGTAATGAAATCAATAATTTATTCAGAAAAATAGAACAATCTAATGGCTGGATTGTTATTTGTTCTGATCATGTGCAGTTTTCAGATTACTGTGTATGCAGACTTGAATTTTTCTAAGGAATTTTCAACTTAAGAATGATTAGCCAGCCTGCCAAGAATGTAACTTAAGGCTCCGATTATAGTGACAGTCTCTTAGCAACGCAGATGTTCATGATGAGGAGTTTATTGAGTTTAATGAAATCACGGGACCAAGGAGAGCATCCACACAGGTGCCAAGGAATTGTTTTTTTTTCAAGATAATGCACATTGATGGTCTGGTTTACCAGACTAGTGCTGTCTGGCATTGAGTCTGGTCTCAATCTGATGTGCAATGAATCCTGTGTATTGGTATCATACCAGTATATAAACCTCTCTAGCCCAAACCATAACAGTGTAGCACACCAGCATCGGATATATGGGGAACTACTGACAGAGAAAGAAAATAAAATCATTAAGAAAAAGCCACTAGCCAGAAATTACTCACAGGACTTCACTGGTTGGATCACACTGAATACTGTGGTCAGTTCTGACACCAGATCACAAGAAATGATATATGTACGCTGGAGAAGGGAACAAGACTGATCCCAAGAGCAAAGCAGATGAACTCCGAGGAAAGGTTATAAAAACTTGAGCAGTGGTGGTTAAAAGAGGGGCCTCATTAAAGCACACCAGCATTATACAAAGTGTTATAATGCAGGGTCTGGAGTACGACCTCAAATTAAGGGTGGGGAGGGATAATGTAAATTTCAACTAATGAGCGTGAAGCTTATAACAGGGGCCAGTAACGTCTTTCTTTCCTCAAAGAATTCTAATGGATAAAGCAGCCAAATGATAGGAGTTGTTTAAAAGATTGTTGAAATGGGAGAGTTAGGTTACTGCAGCGGTGGGTTTGTCCATCATTGGTTAGTTTGCTTTGTTTATGTGCTTGGTATTATCAGACTTTAATTTTCCTCCTTTTGCTGCATTTTGGCCAGGCTGTGGCAGCTATTCATTGCATCACCTTTGCTCAACTTCCTTCTCCCATTGCAGCCTGACCGAAAGCACCCACTTTCAAAAAATTTCACACAGTGAGTGGTTCAGATATGGAATGCACTTGCCTGGAAATGTGGTGGAGGCAGGTTCTATTGAGGCTTTCAA